AGGGGTCATCTTAAATCTGAAGTAATCTTAGTTTTGGGTAAATATGATAGTTACACTGGGGCAGATGTCTCATGTAGGTGACTCTTGACACCAAGCTCAGAAAAAAGTACCCTGTATAATTCCAACTCTTTCAATTGGTTAGTGTAATGTAGAATCTGGGTATCCTCATTCTTTATGCTTCCTTATAGATTGTACGGGAAGTGACATCTTTCATAGTTCATTCCATCATCATTTTTCTACTCTTGTATCTTTTCTGTACCTGAAACACTGTTATCCCATGTCTTCAGTGCTCCACCATTTGTTTTTTTCCCTGTTTTTCAGTATAGCTCCTTCAAGCTTGTTCAAGGTCTCAGTTGCCCAGGCAGACACATACTTGGGTGCTTTTGGCATCACACCGTCTCTGATGAGAAACTATAGATTCATAGATTGTTAGGGGCAGGAAGGGACCTTGGAAGATCATCGGGTCCAACCCCCTACACTATGCAGGAAACACAACTGGGGTCAGGTGACCCCAGCAAGGTGACTGTCCAGTCTCCTCTTGAAGATTTCCAGGGTAGGTGATTGCACCACTTCTGGAGGGAGCTTATTCCACAGTCTGGACACCCTAACTGTGAAGAAGTATTTCCTAGAGTTAAGTCTGAAATAGTCTTCTAGGAGTTTGTGGCCATTACTCCTGGTTATCCCCAAGGGTGCCCTGGCGAACAGTTGTTCACTGAGCCCTTGATGTATTCCCCTGATGTAGTGGTAAGCTGCTTCCAAGTCCCCTCTCAGCCTTCTCTTTTTTAGGCTCAAGAGACCCAAGTCCCTCAGCCTTTCCTCAATTTGACTTGCCTTGCAAGTCTCTGATCATATGGGTGGCTCTTCTCTGGACTCTCTCAAGCTTTTCCATGTCCTTGTTGAAGTGCAGCACCCAGAACTGGGTGCAGCATTCCAGCTACGGTCTCATCAATGCCGAGTAAAGTGGAAGAATCACTTCCTTGGTTTTGTTTGAGATGCATCGGTTGACACATGCCAGAGTATTGTTTGCCCTGCTAGCTGCAGCATCACAGTGATGGCTCATGTTCATACTCTGAGCCGATGTCAGCTTCCAAGGAGGTGTACTGTTCCCTCACATAGAGAGCTACACCTCCACCTTCTTCCCTACTCAGTCCCTTCTGTGCAGGATGTAGCCACCTATGGCTACTTTCCAGTCATGTGAAAAGTCCCACCAGGTCTCCATGACCCCTACTAGATTGTAATGCCCACTGGAGAGTAGGAGGGCTAGCTCCTTTTGCTTGTTTCCCATACTCCTGGCATTAGTGTACAGGCACCCAAGTCCTCCAACTGAGACCCTCGATTTCCTGTCACACTGAGGGAGGACCATTCCCTCAGGTCTTGCAAGAGTGGTTATCCTAGTGTCCCCAACTTTGTAGCTTTCTTGTATGCCCGTCCCTGGGCATGCTTCAATCAGTCAGTGTTTCCTCATCCCCTGGTGAATCTTAGCTTAAAGCCCTATGTAGAAGACTGGCCATCCTGGCTGAGAACAGGGACTTAACCCTCCATGTGATGTGGATGCTGTCCCTTCCCAGGAGTCCTCTCTCCCTGAAGTGTGCACTATGGTCAAAGAAACTGAAGCCCTCTCAGTAGCACCACCGCCAGAGTTGTTGGTTTACTTCTTTAATGCATCCTTCCCTCCTAGGTCCATGGCCTGCAACTGGAAGCACAGAGGAAAAGACTATCTGCATCCCCATCACTTTGAGCCCAGCCCCCAAAGCCCTGTAGTTACTCATGACCTGGTCCGGATTCCTCCTGTACGTGTCATTCTTGCCCATGAGGATGAGGTGCATGGGGTAGTGGTCAGAGGGCCAGACAAGCCTAGGGATCCTCTCTGCAACATCCTGGATGGCTGTCCCAGGGAGGCAGCAGACTTCATGGGCTAGGGGTCCAGATGGCAGATGGGTCTCTCAGTGCCCCACAGGAGGGAGTCCCTGCCCCCCACCATCCTGCATCTCCTCTTAGGGGTGGCTTCAATCAGTCAGTGTTTCCTCATCCCCTGGTGAATCTTAGCTTAAAGCCCTATGTAGCAGACTGGCCATCCTGGCTGAGAACAGGGACTTAACCCTCCATGTGATGTGGATGCTGTCCCTTCCCAGGAGTCCTCTCTCCCTGAAGTGTGCACTATGGTCAAAGAAACTGAAGCCCTCTCAGTAGCACCACCGCCAGAGTTGTTGGTTTACTTCTTTAATGCATCCTTCCCTCCTAGGTCCATGGCCTGCAACTGGAAGCACAGAGGAAAAGACTATCTGCATCCCCATCACTTTGAGCCCAGCCCCCAAAGCCCTGTAGTTACTCATGACCTGGTCCGGATTCCTCCTGTACGTGTCATTCTTGCCCATGAGGATGAGGTGCATGGGGTAGTGGTCAGAGGGCCAGACAAGCCTAGGGATCCTCTCTGCAACATCCTGGATGGCTGTCCCAGGGAGGCAGCAGACTTCATGGGCTAGGGGTCCAGATGGCAGATGGGTCTCTCAGTGCCCCACAGGAGGGAGTCCCTGCCCCCCACCATCCTGCATCTCCTCTTAGGGGTGGCAGCTGGCTGACTACCCACTTCCTCCTCCAGTGTCTTCATCAGAGCCTCCTCATGCATAGTGAAGGGAACATACCTGTTGTGCAGTGCGAGGGGAGAAGCAGGTCTAGCCCTGCATGTCCAGGAGCCCGATCTGACCATCTTCCAGATAGTTCTGGGTGGGTCTTTGCAGCCAGCCTTCTTGTTGGCCACCTTCTCCTCTATCTTCTGTTCTTCTTCTTCCTTCTCCTGGAGAAGGGCAGTATCCATCGATGTATTCTTTGTGGGCCCTGATGGTGAGTAGCTGATGTACCTCGTCCTCGAGCTCCCACACCCAGTTCTTCAGAGACTCCACTAGGGAGCACACACCACAGGTGGGGATGCCTCCATGCCCACCTGCCAGCAGCTGTGCTAAGCAGCCCTCACAGCCCAGAGTCAGGGGCTCAGTCTGGGTAGAGACCTCAGTGGTGCCGGGAAGCTTGTAGGCATGACAACTCTCAACCATGGCTGAGGGCAAGTCCATGCCCCTATCTGGTCCCAGCAGCTTCACTTCAGGCTCCAGGCTTCAGGCTCCTTGCTCAGCCCAGCCCCCTGTGTGCCTTCTGCATGCCCCTCTGCATGAACTCCCATGCTCACTGCTGTACTCAAGGAGAGTCGCACCTGTTTAGGAGCTTTGTTTTCAGGGCTCCCTTGGGCTTCAGCTAAGTAGGGACCCAGGTGGGGTGGGGGGTGGGGGAGGCATTCCTCTCCCTGGTCCCAGTCAGCCAGCACATCCTGCCCTGCATGCACGTACGCATGTACACTCACACCCTCTGAGCACCCCTGTACTTGCCCACCTTCTCCTTGGCCCGGTTCCCTTACCTCCTGGCTCTGTGTTGGATCAGTGATGTCCAGGAGACATTTAGGTCATTGTCCACGGGGGCATGGTGGGTGCTTACCCATGCATCTCCACCGAGGAGCAGGCCCAAACTGCATGAACATGAGAATTCTCCTGTGAAGATTAGCTTTATTATTGGACCTTATGATATTTATAAGTGTGTGTGTGTGTAAAGTGGAACTGTTTAGTTATAACAGCAATGTATGGTGATAAAGACGTTAATTACACACTCCCAAGGACATACGTATATGCACATGGTGCTTGGTACACAAAGAGAATTTGCTCAGCACATGTGCTCCACAAAACATAGCGCAAGGAATTTATTTTTAATCATAAAGTAAAATATTCCAAAATTGTGTAGCTGAATGATGGGTAGCTATAGCAAAACAGGGAACATAAGGGAAACTGACATTAAATGTTTGGTATGCTGCCATGACATTTGCTGAATTTATTTTTATGCTTTATTTAAGCCATCATCTCATCTAAATTTGAGTCTGTGGAATAAAATGCAAAATAATGGAAACACAAAACAAAAACGAATGTAGCTCTGTTGAGCATGTGCTTTTGTTACATTTTTGTAATTCTGATTCTGGAAAATGATCAAATAAGGCTTAACTATTTTGCTTTGCTTTGTGATTTCTTTATATGCGAAAGCAGAATGTTCTTTTAAGAATCAAAGTTCTATGAAAGTGAAATCCTTCAAGATTCTGTAAAATTTTAAGTCTTGACTCAATGTATTTTTTTCTTTTTGCGTATGTATTTTCTTTTAGGAAATAGAAGTATAATTTCAGTATTATCAGTGAACTAGAAGTGCTATTGTATATTAAACTCAAATTACCAAAATTCTGGATCAGTCTATCTTGTTGAGCTGCCCCAGTGGTATGCATCCATTTCTTGTCATTGTAGATGTAGCCTATGGCTAGGGATAGACATTAAAAAAGCCTGAGCCTAAACTGATTCAATCCTTGCAGGTTAGTCTAACCAGCCTAGCTTGAATTATTTTGCAAGGGCACAGACATTCCCTCTGGACTGAAAAAATGCAGGCACATGCCTGCAGTGTCTCAGGCTAGAAGCTGGGAGGTGCTAGAGCAGTGTTTGCTTTCACATTGCTGAGCTGGGAGAGCATGGCCAAGCTGCAGCAGGACTTCTGATTACGAAGGGGTTTAAACTACACTCTGCCTGCATAGTCCCAGGCTTTTTCCTGCTTGCTGCTCAAGGGGCGGGAGTGTCGGCAGAACCCAGACCCAGGCTAGGGCTCTGAGGCAGAGTGGGGGTGCAGTGCATGCATCTGTTGATCATACTGAGCTCTATCTTCCTCTCCCTGCTTCTTCAAACTGTCTGCAGCAAACCTGACAGGCAAGGGAGCCAGCAGAGAGCTGATAACACAGAATTTAGCAGCCTGTCAACAAAACAAAAAGTCTCTCATTAGTTCAAGCTCTTCCTAAACAGCTTTTTCCAAGGAAGGAATGGAGGGACATTACCAGCTGACTTGTTGATTAGGTCTGAAAAAGGGTGGGGAGGGTGGGGAAGGCCTTGAAAAGGAAAAACATGATGGCAATTCTGCCAAGATTACTTGGTAGCCTTGACTGGATGGTCGATGGTCTTCTGTAGCAAGAAGTATCCTCTGTTCAATGCTGCCTTTGGATTTGCTTTTTGGGAAGCTGTAGGATAGATGATCTACCCTCTTGACTAAAACTTAGGAAATCCAGGGTCAGTATTTCTTGTTTGCTTGGTAAACACAGTTGGAAAAAGGTCGTTTTTAAGTATTTTAGCTAATATATGTTACAATCCTAGTGTAAACAGGGTTGTTTAGTTGTAATACTTATGAACAGCGGAGGCAAACTGTAACAGGGAGCCTAGGTTTTATCTTGCCTAGTTAACATCTGCTAAAACTATACCATATATTCTTTACATTTGGGATTTGCATGCATGTGCATGTGTGTGCATACACACACACATTTTAAAATCTACCTCTTCTTTTCTGAAGAGTAGGTTTTGATGTGAGTTTGTCAAGCAAGGCGCTGCCTGGGGGCTTAAACCATAGTGAATCCAAGATGGGCTTTGAAGGCAATTAGGAAGATTACTTTTTCATCTTTTTTTCTGTTAAGGCTTTGTTAATAGATACTGAGGGTTGAGCAAGGGTTTTATGTTTAACTGCAGTAAAATTGGAGCCTATGAACACAAATGCATTTACTCTTTCTGTGGGCTCACCTAACTATGCCTTCTGCAAATAAGATTCCACCCTTTCCTATTGTGAACATAAATTCCCATAGAATCAGCATGCCCCCTTGTCTTGCAGAACATGGTCACCAGACAAAGACTAGGAATAGTAATTACATCAACACTAATATCAGCACTTCATTCATCTCAATGAGGTGTTCATTTCAAAGTCTAATTGGGATAATTTAAATGCTAATGTTATTAAATACAGGCAATTAAGAAACATTCAGCTGATGCCAGGACACCTCCTAAAGGTAAATGCAAAACGTAAAAGTTATTTAAAATTAAGTCCATTAGGATACATGGTACTGCACTGGGGATAAATTTGGGCTATTGTATTCATTCTCTTCATACCTTTCTTTTTTCTGATAGGAATCTGGGCTCTTTCTTCACCCACCACTCAAAGAAGTACATTACTATCATACATGGAAGGACATTGGATTTAACTCCACCCATTCATTCTTGAGATTTTTTTCTTTTTTTATCTTTTCTCTCTATCTTTGAACATGGAAAGTAGCTGTTTTGCTTCTCACTTCAATGGGAGCAGGATTTAATCCATGCTTTTATGTGTTTGTACAGTATCTAGCACGATGCTGCTACATAAAATCACTGAGCAATGCCAATGAGTCATGAAACAGTAATCTCTAGGGCTAGAGACAGACATTCAAAAAGCTGGAGCCTGAATTGATTCAATCTTTGCAGGTTAGTCTAACCTGGCTAGATTGAATCAAATTGGACGTGAACATACATTCATAAAATGCAGTCACATGCCTGCAGTGACTCAGGCCAGAAGCTGGGGGGCATTAGAGCAGGCCCTCAGCTGCAGGGAAGCTGGGGGGTTCGGGAGGGCGGTGTCCAGGCCCCAGCAGTAGCCAGGAGTGAACTGGCTGAAGGGGGTTTACGCCCCCCCACCCCCATGCCACCAGCACAGACCCAAGCTGGGGTCTGACAGGCAACCCCCCATTGCTGCTGCAGTGGCAGGGCATGGTCCCTCGAGGCAGAGGGGACAGGGAGAGGGTTCCCCCTGTGCCCCTGGGGGACTGCAGCGGGGTCTGCCCACTTTGACCACTGCATTTGTTCACTCCATGTGCAGGGCAAGTGATGGGATAAGACACCTCCTGCCCCTTCCACCAGATGCTGGAAGGAGTGGGGAATAACCCTGCTCCCTGCTTCCCCACATAAGGGGCCCTGCCAATCAGCCTCTGGCTGCCCCTGCTTGGCTGTTGGAGTGGTGAGAGGGCAGGGCCCTTGATGGGAACAGCAGCCACTGTCCTGGTGTCCCAGAATGCAAGCCCCTTCCTGGGGCCTTGAGGCCGGCAGGCAGGGTCCCTTAGGCAAGGGGACAAGGAAGCGGATTATTTCCCCCTCTGCCCTTGGGGACCACCAGGGTTTGGCCACTGCAGCTGGGGGACTGTGGTTTAAGTTAAACTAGGAAGGGATCTGGGACAGATGTTGCATAAACCAGTTTGACCCAAATCAGTTCAGTCTGATATTACATTCAACCAGGTGTATCTTAAGTTTTGGCCATTTTGAAACTGGTTTCTATGCACTGAATGTATGCTCTGTTACAGGTTTAAACCATTTTAAGTAATCAGAAACTGGTATATGTGTATGTCTGTCCCTAGCCTAGAGACTCAGTACTATATTTACATTAAAAAAAATGGGAACAGAAGTCTAAGGGAATATCCATGTTCTAGAAATGGGGTGAAATAGGTGCTGTTATCTTTTGTAGGTTACTGTGGTGAAAGTGGGAGCTCCCCAACTAGCCACAGTGCTGATCTCACACCACCTCTGGGCATGCTGCCTGCCTATCTTCGCTGCCATGCCTTGCTGTTAAGTAATTATGATCTTAATTAGGCAGGAGGCTGCCCATTGAATGCCCTGTTCTCCTGGGCCTATGTATGTAGCTCCAACCACCATGGTACTGCATCCCAAGCCTCACAGATGTTGCTTACAGCTGTGCTAAGCTCTGGCTTGAGGCCAGGCCCAAATCATCACAGCACTGAATCTCATTTGCTCTGCCCTGCTACGGCCACACTTGTATTGCCTCCCTCTCACAGAGGCCTCTCACTCTCCACCAGCTCTCACCTGGTCTCTTTCATCCCACCCTTCCGGGTCCTCTCTCATACTGCCCCTTCTATCCCAGGGAACACATTCACCTTGCCCTCACCTGGAGGGTCCTCAGGCTTGCTACTCTTCACTCCCCAGCCAGCAAGTGCACAGCCCTTTTGGGCATCTTCCACTATCCTCATCTGAACAAGCGCTGGGTGGTTCACAAAATGCTATGCTGACTTTGCCCTGTGTCTCATAGCTCGGTAACTCCCCCCAGCTGCTCTCCATTAAGGGGATGATAGCTTGCCGCCCCTCCCAATTCCTCTTGTGACTCCTCCTCTGCTGCCTTCCCATCAACCACCAGCCCACCTGCAGCCTCAGGTACCCAAAGGCTTACCTGGACTTAACTCTAGCCCCCATGTTAACAGGGCCTCCACTCCAGCCCCTGCCCTCAGGGCCCCTCATGGCCCATAACTTGCCCCTCTCGCAAGGGCCTCTACTGCTCACCTTACAGGGTCTTCCAACCTTTCAGGCTCAGACATTTTTCAATGCTTACCTGTCCATCACTGTGCCCCTTCAGGGTCTTGCCCTGATGCTCAGCCTACAAGCTCCCCCAGAACTTGCAACTTCCCTAAGTGGTAAGTACCCCACTGGTGCTCTGCCACAGTTACCTTTGTTTTAAAAGCAAGTTACTGTATTTTCATTTATTTTAAACACAGATTAGCAGTTCAAACTCCCTATTTGTCTCCTTTGAGGCTCACCAGCAACATCACAGTCATGTAATTGATTTGCATCACAGTATTATCAACTTGTTTAATAGTTACGCAATTGCTGGTACTGTAATGTTGTCTAATCACATTGTTTCTTCTTTTAAAAACTTACCTTGATATCTGGGGTGTGAGAGACAACTGTACAACATTATGTAGTACTTCATGGCAAATCTTTTGTTGAATGTACTGAAGAACATAGCAAACCTCTGGGATGTAAGTACATTATAATTACCATGAATTCCGAGGAAAGCAATATAGTATTTCAAATAGTAAGATCAATAGACTCTAGTACTTATTGAATGTGCAATAAATGCTCAGACATATTGAAATATCTGATGTAGTGTTAGAAAGAATGTCACACTGAAAGACATGAGAAAAACAGTATGTGTTAAGGCAGCTTAAGTAATATAGAACCAATTTCTTTAGTGTTAACAGCAGTTTCTGGAATCTATGTTATAATTCAGCATTTCTTCTCTAATGTATATAGAAGAAATGCTGAATTATATAAATATGGGATCAAAAGGTTCCCACCAAACTTAAGAGAAATTTTATCAAAGACTTCAATGGTAAAATGAGTAACACTGCATACCAATCCAAGGGTTTATTAAAATAAGGGTAATATACTCTTAAATATTGGAAATAAATATTGGGATGACTAATTACTTGACACATTTGCAAAACTAAGGATGTAATTTATCAGGTAAAATTTATATTAACAAAAAATGGAAGTTGGGCTCTAGTACAGTTTAAAAATATGCATTTAGATGAGACAAGGTTGAAATATTATTTTCCTTCTAGTGTGACTGGTTTAGTCATAGGTTTTGCACTGATTTAACTATTTTTTTTCAACATAAAGAAACCCGAGCAAAACATTTCTAACAAAAAATAGATATGTCCAGGCTTTGGGGTTTCAAAGACGTAAATTAATTTATTTTTAAACTAATGTAGTTAAGTTCATGCCAGATAGTGTGTGTAAACAAATCCCAAACCTTTGTTTGTTTAACTGTCAAATTACTGGGCAAGTTTCTTCATTACTTTAGGAAAAGCAGTGATTGAGTAGTGTAATCTCCTGTGATAAAATAAATACATTCCTTTGCAATTAGGATTAAAAGTAAATTCTAATTATGAAGGATTTATAATTTTAATTTGTAACAGAGTACTTAGTACAACCAATGAAACAACCAAAAGCCTAGTACAACCAATGAAACTTATTCTAGGAATGCCAGCACTGAACAAAGGTTTATGCATCCTGCACTGGGCTAGATAATTTGTCTAATAAAACAAAGGATTATTACTTGTTAATGGAGAATGTTGCATTTGGCTGAGGTTTTTGATGACTTCCTACTGCACATTTAAAATATACAGACTATTTTAGAATGAAGTCTTCAATAAAAAGCATAGTCTTTCTAGGCTTTTAAAAGACTCCCTAGGTCAAGAGATTGGAAAGATGGTCTACTCCTCAGGGCAGGGCTGCAACTAGCAGATTGGTACCAGACGATTCATGTAACTCTCAGCAGGTCACCACCTCAGTTTCTCAGCCACTAAATCCCTATCTTGTCGGGATGTTTTGAGGATAAAATCCATTAATGATTGCATGATGCTCAGATACCACAATAATGAGGGACCCTTGAGTTCTCTTTATATTCATGGGTCAGCTAATTCCACCCAAGTTTGCATTTATAAAAATGTCTTACCTGAGAACAAAAGCACTGAGGAAACATTCCTCTGCTGTGACTATCAGCATGTCTAGACTGCCTTTTATTATGCCACACCCAGCAGCACCACTCTGGGTAGGTGCCCAGAGTTTCTCTACATTGCACATGTGCTTATATTTTCTCAGCAATTCTCTACAGGTGGCTACACTGCCTCATTTTCAGGAGTTGGTGGGTGAGGACCGCAGTATGACTGTGCTCCATAGCCTGGCACAGACATGGTGTGGATGTACCCACTGAATCCAGCCCTGTTATTCTTGATCAATATACTAAATTTCAATCAGCTGTGCATTATTTCCTCCTAATGATTCCAGGTATAAAGGCCTGACTTCAGTAGAAGCTACAAATGCTCAGTCACCTTGGAAAAGTAATACTTTATTTTGGTGCTCTAATTTAGACCCCCTAATTTGAAAATTTCAGGCTTAGCTAATCTTACACTTGTACCCCGCAAAGAATCCTCAGGCAGTGCTTACTTTTCATATGATTACTAGATATACAACATATCTAGTCAGCTAGCAGTCAGAATTCCTATGGAGACAGTATGAATAAAACAAAAGCTATGGAAATCAGGGTACCATAGGTAAGAATTGTTCTTTTGTGCAGGAAAGCTGAAATTATATGGAAATAAATGGTATTATGGTGCAGAAATGTTTGATTGGCTTGTAGGCATGGAGTGATCATGGACAGCCAGTCAAAGAAAGGGGCTTAAGGTCCAATAGGCTAATATTACTGGGATGTTTCAAAACATGATTTATATTTTATGGTAATGCCCTGCTTTTATTTTCCTAAAAGAGTAGAATAATAGCTCATATGAAGATATGCTCCAGAAAATGGCTGTTAGGGTGTGGCAATGGGTTATTTGTCTGGTGCTTCGACAGTTTGAAAAATATCCATGGGAGTTTTTGTGAATCCC